ATTTCAAATTCAATACTTGACTACATAAAGAAAATATAATAATCATATCATGATACGAAACTCTGTATTTCAATAATAAAAATGACTGAAATTAATTATTTAGAAATAAAAAAAATAGTTGTTTCTAATTTATTATTAATATTGAATAATTTAAACGAATCAGACATATTTAATATTATATAATTTATTATAGAAATTAAATTAATACATTTATTTGATTTAATTTGTTCGACCATGTGCAGCAATAGCTAGATTGAAATAATAAAATTAATCATAATAATAATAATAATTATTATTATTATTACACATTAAGTTGTCATGAGTTTATATTAATAGACCGATGGACTTATTGTAATTCAATCCAAATTCATTTGTTACATTTTTTGCTGGCATATGAATTTCTTTAAATTTATATTTAATAGACGTCTCAGTGACTACCAGTGCTATGAGGGTTAACAAGTTCGAAGTGTTTCAGTGAGAATCTAGCGCCCAGTCTGACTGCTGTAGAATATGATGAAGTGAAATCATTAGCAGTGAATGTGGTTTTCTGTAGATGGATGAGATGTCATACCAGCCTCTCCTCTCAAAGCTCTCTCCAGCTCCACTCCTTTCAACTCCAGCTCTTTAAAGGTCACTTCTATCTCTTCCAGCCTTCTCTGAATCGTCTGCGGGGGCGGCGGAACCAGGACAGCATGACCAAATAAGAATGAAAATCAGATACTTGATAGAACTCGATGCTAATGTTTCTTTTATTGGTAAAACAATAAGGCTCCATTTGTTAACTACAATAGTTAACATGAACCAACAATGAAAAATACTTCGAAGGCATTTCTTAATCTTAGTTAAGGTCAACATTTGCTAATAATTCTTAAAATCAAAAGTTGCATCAATTAAAATTATTTAATGGACCTGAAACAACATAAGCAAGGAACAGTTGTACTTTAATGTTAATGTTATGTAATACATTAGTTAACGTTTACTAATGGGACCTTACTTTAAAGTGTTACCTTTTATTTAACCTGCATATGTTTATTACAGTTATGGGAAACAATCTACACGGTTCAGACTTCTTCTGTGGTCTTTGAGGAGTGTGATCTTGCTCACCTGAGCTTTGTGGAAGCGCTGGATTTCACTCATCCTTGCTTGACGCTCCAGAGTTTTCATCCTCTTTAGGTCGTGTTTCTCTGACTCAGAAATCTCAAAATCAGCCCCCTGAACACAGAAAACACAATCCCGAGTCAACAACATCCTAGAGAGCAGCTTTTAATCAGTCTACCATAAAACATGATCACATGATCTAGTGTTTTTCCCCCCAAAATAAAAGCTTGATAGTTTGAAAATTAAGAAAGCCATAAATATGATTTTTTTATTAGTAGTAGTTTTTATTTTACAGTGAAATGTTACAATATTAATGCTTATTATTTTGCTTAATATCTGCATTTAATAATAATAATCACAATCACAAAATGTTTGGCCAAATTGTGCAGCCTTACAAACAAGCATAGCAAAGGTGGAAGGTTTTACATTTTAAATCCCAATCCAAATTTTGATCAAATATTTTCCCTAAATCATGCAGCCTTTGTTCATGAAATGGCATCATAATCAAGTTCTATTCTGGGCGGTCATGCTCAAGTATCACCAAAATAACTGCATATTCTCCTTGTTTGTAGAAAATGTCATGCATAGAAATGTGGCCTTCTGACCAAATCTAGGGCCGTTCCTCAGCCAAAATAAGCTACGGACCAAGTGTTAAAATACTCATTTGAACATAATCTCACCTTGCAATCCAAATAATGGTCTTCTCCTTGAAGATCCTCTTCATTCTCCTCTTCATCATCGTCAACACCTTCTTCATTATCGTCTTCTGATACATAATGGTCTGGCTGAGCTTGTCCTAATGAAAATCATAGCAAAATCAGCTGCTAAACATTTATCTTAACCTAGAGACGTTCAGTACTAAAAGATATTTGTACACATAATACTCAGTAATATTTTCGATTTGGCTTCACTGACACTGAATGAGAACAAAACCTAAACATTATTGTCATCTGTAGAGCTGCTTTATAGCTGAATTGAATTTGTTTCATAATTGACCCAAAAAATTAAAATTTCGTCATCATTTACTCAGCCTCAAGTTGTTTCCAAACCTGTACGAGTTTCTTTCTTCTGTTGCACACAAGGCATTCTAAACATACTAAATGACTAAATGTAAACAATGTTGGTAGCCAAACAGTTGCTGGTAGCCATTGACTTAAAAATACAATGAAAGTCAATGGGTACCAGCTATTCTTCACAACCTTTTTTTGTGTTCAACAGAAGAAAGAAACTCATACTACTAATTTGGAACAGGATTTAGTTGAGGATGAATAAATAATGACAGATTTTTCATTTTTTGTTTTTTCTTTCATTTTCTCATCAAAGAACTACTCTTTTGATCAGTCTACCAGCTGCTGCTTTCAGCAGTTTTCCACCTAAATTAAAGCTTGATGGTTTGAAAATGATGAAATTAAGACAGCAATAAATATTAGCATTGTATAGTACAGTTGTGCTGTAACTATTATTATTATTTATTATATTATTTTATTAAATACTATTTTTATTTTACAGTAAAATAACAATTGACAAACATTTGAATTTGTCTCATATTTGAAGAAGTTTGCTATTTTAACAGAAGTCTGTTAACAGAATTGTAAATTACATTTTTGAAAATTACTTTTCATGCAGTGTGTAACACAGCTCTAAGTGAATGAAAACATCCTGCAAAGTTTTAAATCTGAAAGCGCACCGTGCATTAAGTTATTGTCCCTCAAAAGAAAGAGTCGACTCTGAATCATTGAAACGAGTTGTTTTTTAAAACAAATCCCAAGCCGTTTCGTGTTGACGTCAACATGAAACATTAGCATATTGCCCGCCCACTTGTTGGTCTTTTCACGTTGGACTGAATGAAAATGCCAATTCATTCTTTGCCACCAGGTGCCGCTTTTGGAGCGGTAAAAATAGCGGTTTCCCCGGTAACGCTGTAAACAAAGCAGCACTGCACTCACAAACGCTGCTGTATCAGGAATTACAGGCATGATTAAATGAAAATGAGACCAATCCGACCAATCACCGCAGATTAGCGTGACGCAAAGGAGGGGTTTGGAAAAATGAATCGTTGAATGAATCGTTTGGGAGTCGTTGAGTAAGTAAGGTAAAAATAAATGCATATTATAAGACAATGAAAGTGTTTTTTGACCTTGCATGCATGTCAACCTGTTGTTGGGGACTCCCAAAACCAAAATATGCACCTTTCATTACCCATAATAGGGGCACTTTAATAGAAAGTGTATTGTATAAAGCACTATCTAAATAAAGTTGACTACCAAAAATGTTGACTCCTAACCTGAAGGTGCGACTCTGAGGACGCTGAAGCGCTGCTGTAGTCGAGGTGAAGAGAGATTCCATGGGGAAAACTTGGAGCGCATCTTTCCGTGTTGCGAGTGTGCAGAAGGTGGCGGTTCATTCTTCCTTCTCATGCAGCGCCGGTTGCGCTGGTCCCGCAAGCTCATCCCGGTCGCGGTGCCTCCGCTCCAGTAGCCCTCCTCCTCGCCTCCTTCCTGCTGCTTGGAGGAAGAGGAGGTGGAGGCGGCAGAAGACGAGGCGGGCGTCTCCGAGTCTGAATCCTGGCTGAGCCGGTCGGCCTTCTCCTCTTGGCTCAGCTGAAGCTTACGCAGCGACGGTTTGGATTTGGATTCCGGAGTTTCCTCTTGGTTCTGCTCTGGTTCCTCGGGGGTATTTGAGGCTTGAGGCACCACGTTATGGACAGTGCGAGGTTTTGGGAGCGGAGCTCTGGACGGTCGAGGGGCCGGCACTGGAACGGACGGACTGCTGTTATTTTGTTGGTTCTCGATGCCTGTGCTCTCTGGATAGAGCTCTGATGGCGGTTGGTCTTCTTGCTCTGTGGGAGTGAGACACTCATTCGATTCTTCAAAGTCAGGGTCAACGGAGATCTTGTATGAGCCCTTCCGTCTTACAGAGACGTGTGGAGGTGGGGATGAAATTTCCACTGTTTCACCATTTTTCTCCTTATCATCCTCCTCATTAAGGCTATTTTCGATTTGATTCTAGAAAATTGAAAAACATAACATTATCATGATATTTTGGAACAGACATATTTTGTGCAAGTGCGTGAACTGTTACACTGCGAAACGGTTTTAAGACAGAAATGTGTCAAAATACAATCCATATGTACTACTGTTCAAAAGTTTGCGGTCGGTATGATTTTTAAATATTTTGAAAGTCTCTTATGCTCATCAAGACTGCATTTATTTGATCAAAAATACAATAAAAACAGTGAAATTGTGAAATATTATTGCAGTTAAAAATAATTGGTCTCTGTGTGAATATATTAAAAGAATTAATTTATATTTGTGATGCAAAGCTGAATTTTCAGCATCATTACTCCGGTCTTCAGTGTCACATTATCCTTCAGAAATCATTCTAATATACTGATTTGCTGCTCAAGAAACATCTCTTATTATCAATGTTGAAAGCAGTTGTGCTGCTTAAGTAAAAAGTGACGTGACATGTGGCCAAGTATGGTGACCCATACTCGGAATTAGTGCTCTGCATTTACCCATCCAAAGTGCACACACACAGCAGTGAACACACACACACCGTGAACACACACCCGGAGCAGTGGGCAGCCATTTATGCTGTGGCGCCCGGGGAGCAGTTGGGGTTCGGTGCCTTGCTCAAGGGCACCTCAGTCGTGGTATTGAAGGTGGGAGAGGGCGCTGTACATTCACTCCCCCCACCTACAATCCCTGCCGGTACGAGACTCGACCCACAACCTTTGGGTTATGAGTCCGACTCTCTAAACATTAGGCCACGACTTCCCCATTAATATTTTTGTGTAAACATTTGTAATACATTTTTTCAAGAGTCTTTGATTAATCAAAAACAATGTGATCAGTTTGATTCTAAACTAATAACTCTAATGACATATGTGACCCTGGACAACAAAACCAGTCTTAAGTCGCTGTGGTATATTTGTAGCAATAGCCAAAAAAACATTGTATGGGTCAAAATTATCGATTTTTATTTTATGCCAAAAATCATTAGCATATTAAGTAAAGATCATGTTCCATGAAAATATTTTGTAAATTTCCTACCGTAAATATATCAAAACTTAATTTTTGATTAGTAATATGCATTGCTAAGAACTTCATTTGGACAACTTTAAAGGAGATTTTCTCAGTATTTAGATTTTTTTGCACCCTCGGATTCCAGATTTTCAAATAGTCGTATCTCGGCCAAATATCTAACAAACCTATCCTAACAAACCATACATTAATGGAAAGCTTATTTATTCAGCTTTCAGA